TGAGACTTTTAAAAAGCAGTGTATAAATGAGAGTAGGAATGATTGATAAAAATGTAATTGCAAATTATTTATAGAATTGATAGGTTGTAGACTATTTTAACCTGCTGGCACACATAACCTTGTTCCACCTTCATCGTTCTTGCTTTTCACATTATCCTTTACATTTCCAAAAAAATCATGTCACTCTTTGGGACACTGAAAATAAACATATAGATTACATTTAAAAAAAAAATAAAAAAAATTTAAACCCTAGAAACTGGAAAAACCTTTCTGTTCATAAATCCTGCAGAATATCTATTGAGGACATTTTGAGGGTAAATGACAACTGTTTATGGAAAGCCAAGTTGTATATACATATACTATTGTTAAATTGCAATCAATATAGGTACACACATGGATAATAAAACCTTGGAATCAAGAGGTATGTAACTTGCATAAAATATGTAAACATGATGTGAAATTCTACTCGTGTTAGTATCTTTGAAATATATGCAAAACAGCAGCATAAATCACAACTGCTGTTGAGGAACAGAGAAAAAATACTGATTAGCTTACTATCTATGCTGTAATCCTACAAATCTACCCTCTTGCTAAACCTCTTCATGTTTCAAGAAGAAGCACCATATTTTCAACATCCAATACTTTTGATATTATTTCTACCAATCTTATTGAATTCTACATCCAGTCCTGCTCATTGAAATTAAGTAACGTTTCTCATATTCAGTTTTTTATTTAAGCCAAAGCAAAATTTCAAATACACTCCCTCGTTATTCTTCATCTTGTCTCAGCCAGCTGTCTTCTGACTGACATTCACTGAACATTATGATCTCAACAGCAATCTACTCAAAATTATGCAGTTGTGTTCATTTATTTTCACCAATCATTTGTCACATGCTCTACTTTGTAAAAACCCTTAACATTGGCTCTTGAGTACCCCCTCACCCAACACCTCAGCCTAACCCTCCTCAACTCAGGAGGAACCTTAATTCTATTGACCTCCAGCAGCTGTCAGCTGATATTGAGTCACAACTACTATCCATCCCTTCCCTCACCTGTCCCTCACTGGCCATCTCCACATATAAAACTAATTTTGTAAATGCAGAAATAGCCCACAAGAAAAATCTATACAAATAGATAAAGAAAAAATTGATTAAAACTTATTGTTTCTTTCATTTGTTTAAAAAGGGAAAGATTATATCTTTCCACCCTTTGTGGGGGTGAGTGCTATCGTGAAAGAATAAATACAGGTGATAGGTTAAACCCTATGATGAATGAAAAAGCAAAAGGAAGTAAATAAATGTTTTTATATACAACTGTACTGATTTCCTCTTTTACTGGCTGGAGACCAGAGTGTATTACGAGGTGACAACAATATGTCTATTAGTAGCAACTGTGAGAAAAATGTGATACGTTATTTGGTAAATAGACGCTATTGAAGTTCTGTCCAGGGAGGGGAATAGCTAGTTTTGATAGAGTACTAAAGAGGAAAAAGATTAAAAAGTGGGAGCTGTCTTAGTGCAGCTATGGTTGTTCAAAAGTTCAAAAGTGTGCCCTAATAAGCACATAAGCACAGTACGGGTTAATCTCTATTATAGCTGTCAGCTAAAAATGACTGTTTATAGTAATATTTGGAGTATTGCCCCAATTTTTAGGCCTCCACTCACATTTACACTTTGCTCTCGTTTAAACACTATTATGTTAAATTTTAATAGTTTGGATCTTGAATGATTTTGGACATTAAATAATCAGATTTTGTGTTTTGCCCATTTTAGTGAAATTTCTTGATTTTAATACAGGGCTTTTGTTTCATTTTTGGTTGTTGAGCAGGCCACTGTTTTAATTTGCAAGCCAAAGTTTTTTAGGAGTTTGGAGTGTTCCTTTAAAGGCTATTTTGTTTGAAACCAATATATCTAAATAAACTCAAACTTTTTTTATTTTTACTTTTTTATCTGGTTATTTTTGAATTCTGTCTTTGTACCTTTTCAACCCACATTTTAATACAATGCTTTTTAATTCTACTTTTCCATCCATCCATTATTAAAAACAGAACAATATACCTGAAGTTAAGCTCTCAACATTTTTTTTTCGGAAGGTAAAATGTAAAAAAATAAATTGTGTTAAATTTAATTATCGCTAACCTTGCTATACAAATATGCATTTTCCACTTGCTACAAAGAGCTAAATTCTCATGGCTCAACCACGGAAACAATAAAGTCACTGTGTATGGCAATGAAGCCAAGAATAAAAACAACTTTGAGTCAAAAGTAAATATCAAGCTTTCCACAGAACAGTCCGTCTGATATGCTTTTAAATTAAAAACAGAAATTAATTATTTATATATTTTGTATGTGCGGGAACAAGCTCCTTTCACTTTCAGAGATACAATGCATACACACAAGCTTTAATAATTTACTAGCCTTTCAAAGATGAATAAAATGACTCATTGAACAAATATCAAAACAAAGCAATATTCTGTAGCACTTGGGAGAATTCTATTTGTGGATAAGGGCAGAAAGGAATTTCAATTAGTGAATAATCACTAAAAACACTCAATGTCATTTCATCCTTTGGGATCTTTTAAAAGCATCTATTTATTTACTATAGACAAAAGTTTTGACCAACAGGAAAAAAAAAACCAAAACATATTCATAGCAGTCTATACACTAAAATGCAACTCGAGGTGAGTAGAAGACTTTAAAATGCAGAGTTCAGTAAAATTCTCAAACCGTTAGAGCTAAAATTTTTACCCCATGTAGGGAATTAACCTTAAATTTTCCAAGTCCATTCTAAATGTGCTGTTTAGTGAATAGGCCCTAAAAACCATTAAATGTGCAGTGTATTTGTCAAAGAGAATGTAAATAGCCATGTTAGTCTTAAGATGAAAAATAACATGTTGAAGCCTTGAAATAATAATAATCAAATCTATAGACATACAGACCATTTCATCTAGTCCCCCCATTGCCCTCACTTGTGGGCATGGGTGGGGGACTTTAATTTAAATAATGAGGGGTGTACAGATCACTGTTAGGCCAGTGAATAGGGGCAATCCTTTGCTGCCCCACCTATATTGGGTGGGGGTTACTTCTTTAAATGGGGGGGGGTATCCTGGTAACCGGTGTGGCAATGGTGCTCAGTGATCTGTCCACCACCCATTATTAATTTAAAGTCCCCCACCCGATGCTCACCTGTTAGGGTCATGGAGGGGGGACTAGTAGATCCTCCCCATTATGGCTTCCAAGTTGCTAGTTTCTATATTTAGTAGATATGTCCTGACCTGCCACATGGCAGGTGAGGGCATATGAAGGTCTACAATTTTCCTTATAGAAATATTGGGGTTATATTGACCACCATAGGCTCTATTTTTTTTTTTTAATTTGACAATTTTTATTTGACAAGGGAAGACATAAGAAATGAAAGTATGCACAGTTTGTAAGTGACAATAACCATTCCACATTTAAATTTGTAGATTATGTTGTACATAGTGGTGATTACATTTGTGACTAAACAGCATATTCTTCTTGTATCAGGCTATTTCGCTAGCATTAACAGTAGGTAATCATATAACACATGATTCATCCCCAAAGGGTTATCTTTTTATTGAGTGTGTTTAGGTTAGTGCCTTGGTGGCTTGGTTAAAACCCAGTTTCTGCTAGTCTTATCAATAGGGTTTGATACAGTGCCATTTCAGTTGGGCTTTGCATCTCAGGTTTGTAGCAGATGGTAGTCTTCAATGCTCCTGTGGTGTTCTGTGCAGCAGAGATAAGGGACAGTAAAAGAAAAGACAAGAAATAGGAGATTTTAAAAAAGTAGATGGTATCTAACTTATATACATGGGGGGGATGTGTGTTTCACAATGTCTAGCTGATGCTAGCAAGGGCTGAAAAAAGTCTTATGTGCTTCATTTGTATGAGGATGTTTGTAAAGGAATATAGTGGAGGTAAGTGTTGACCCTTTAGTTTGGCGAGGGCAGAAAAACATTTGTACAAATAGGAGATAACTGTATCATTGGTTCAGGAGACACCTAGAACAATGGACAGTGAGGTCAGTGTGGGTGGTACCAGATCCACCCAGGACTTAACCATTAATGACAAAATGTAATACCAAGAAAAGGAATAAATCCCACTCTAAATCAGAGTAGGGAATTCCAGACTGGTAAATAAATGTAATATCGAAGCTTGATAGGGAGATAACAACACAAACCCACAGCGGAACTCAGTTCATAGCAGTGTATCACCATGTAAAACTAAAGTGAATTTATTTAAGTCAAAAAAAGTAAAAATTATACATCTGTTCAGTTTATATCCACTTGGTTTTATCAGAGTCCATACAGATGTTCAAACAACTAGATGCATACTTGCAAAAACAGAATATTCAAGGATATAATCTTTCAATGTAGGGTAATAACTGCTTGATCCAAGGATAAATCTGACTGCCATTCTGGGGTCAAGAAGGAATTTTTTTCCTAACTTGTTGCAAAATTGTGCTTCAAACTGGGTTTTTTGCCTTCTTTTGGATCAACAGCAAAAAACAAATGTAAGGAAGGCTGAACTTGATGGACGCAAGCCTCTTTTCAGCTATGTAACTATGTAACATATTAAAATACACTATTTAAGATGGTTTGCGCCACAGACTTTTCAAGAACTGCTGTAGGCTAGGGATATTTCATGCATCAATAACAATAAAGTCCTTGTTAGACAATTACCTTATCCCTGATAAATAGACCGGCTCATTTTGGTTTGAAATCAATTAGTCTGAATTTTGGCCAATCTGCAGGTTGTTCTAATTCTGTAATTCTGACTCACCATATGATGAAAACATGAAAATGTCACATCATGCCATGTTCTGTGGATCAGTCTGATGATGGCTTCTGGTATCCAGTACTCTTTTTACAGTTCTTGTTTAGTTTTTCTTATTTTTTTGGTTTTCTATTCTATGTCTGGTTTTCTTTATGCTGGGTTTTTCTGGGTTCATTCCTGTAATCCGTCCCTGGAATTCCCAGTCTCTTGGATTCATTTAAATGTTTGTTTTATGTTGCCACACCCGTTTGTTTTCCATCATTCCTTTTGTTTCAGTGTTCCTGCAGGCAGCTGCTCAAGTCTTCTGCCCTTTCTTGCAGGTAAGGACTATGTGTGTTTTCTTTGGTTGGTTTAGTTTGCATTAGGTAGAGTAGGACCTGCCAGATATGGGGTACATTGGCGTTGTTGGCAGGCTTATGCAATGTATGATCATATAATGTGACTAAATCCCCATGATTTTCATATATAGTACTTAGTTATTTCTTCTCTTGTTTTGCCTATCATATCTTGTCTTGTTTTAGTTTGTATTCCCAGTCCATGTACAGTCCTGTCCTGCCCCTGTTTAGTTAATGTTCCCTTATGTATTGTGTACATGTTCTGGGTTTAGCTTTCTATCCTTCTCTGGTTCTGGGTTCTACTAGTTTTGTCTTGTTTTCATGTTTGGTGCCTCTCCTAGCCTTGCCTTGTTTTCTGTACTGGATACATTCTTGCTGCACAGCCTCCCTATTTAGCTCCTGGGAGGTCTGCTTAATTTCCTAGCTCCTAGTTCCTGGGATCTGCATAAGCTGAATCAGGGTTCTGGTATGTGGCTGCACAAACGCTCGTGCCCAACACCAGGGGGCGTGCGGTTACCCTGCACCAGACCCTGCCAATCCACCACCACACTGTGACTCCTACTCTGAACATCAGGCATACTGGGTCCCGGCCCATGCACCGCCATCTGGACAGTGCTGGGTCCCGGGCCCCGGACTGCTACCTTGACAGCCATCTCACTACTATCAGTACAAACTGATTTTGATAAGCTTTTTAAAAAGACTTATCTTTCTTTTTTTCTGAACTATGCTAAAATATTTTGTGCTAATATTTGTTTTATTTTTTCAGAGTTCAAATCTGCACCTGCTAATGGGTTCTTCCACTACATGCATTGAAATTCCCAGTCATATCCTGATAACCCTGTTCCCATTCACCCACCCATGACCCATATTTAGTATGCTTTGCTAAGTTATTCTTTCAGAAAAAAGAAGGGATTGAAAGGTTAAAATTATATTCTGCTAAACATACATATTTTGGCTAAATGCTTTTAGGGACTTTTTGCTAAGTGACTGTTAGGGGTTTGTTTGAACCAATTTTAATCACCTCCTTGTAAGTGCAGGAAAACGTTATGAACATATGTACAATATGCCTTAAGTTAGTTACTTCTTCCTTGTAAGGTAAGGAAGATAGTTTTTATCATATATTGTATAATTATGCACACCCCTGGAAACCCTGTTGTTATTCTACCCATATAAGATGTGCTTACTAAACATTGATATTTTGTGAAACTCTGTTTGGTGTCTGTTTCATTGAATATTCAAGTACTTCGGTGGGGAATTTTGACTGGGCAGAACCCAAAGTCCATGGCATAAGAGTAGAAATGTGTAATCACACAGGCAAAGTTCCAACTGGCTACACAGTTAAAAAAAAAAAAAGAAATGGAACATTTTTGTTATGAAGAAAGGTTAGCAAATTTAAATCTGCTTAGTATAGAAAAACGGTACCTTAGTGGGCATAACATAGCATTATACAAATATATTGAGGGCCTATACAAACCTTTGTCTGGGAATCTGATTGGGTGTGATTGACTGGAAGGCATGGCTGCTACCCCAATCTCCTCAACAGCGATCTGAATGTTCTCCATTCCCCTGCCTCCCACTCTGCGATCCTCCGCTAAGTATTTGTGGTATAGAGATACTTAAAGTGCAGAGGCACTTGGAAAGATGCTGGGACAAAAGTAATTCCATGACACCATGACACGGTGAAACAGAAGACGCCAAAATTAAAAAGCTGGATAAAGACACATCACAGGCATAGAGATTCAAAAATGCACACAAGAGATAAAAAGACCCACCAGCCATGACCGGCCGAAAGGTACTCCAAGCGAGGTGGCTACAATACAACCTGTAACCTATGATCCAGGGGACAGTTAGTAGCTCCTTTGGGAGCAGAAACTACTTTTGGACACAATATACCCTTACTACTTATTCCTGGTTCACTAGCTACCACCAAGAATCCTTCATAAATTATAACACTTACAGAATATATCTGGATATTTCACCCTAAATAAATCTTGAAAACAGGTTAAATGAAATAAAGAGAGAGAAGGGCAAAGAGTGGATAAAGGTGGATGAATTTGAAGAAAGGAATAAAAGGGAAGAGTATAAAAAGGGAAAAAGAAGAAAATCTATCTGGTGACTATTTACAGAAAAAGATAAAGGTTTTTTATAATCTAAACAGCCGTACAAATACATGTAATATCATATCCTAGTTTAAAATTTTTAAAATAAAACAGTGATATACAATTTTCCTTAAAGCTTGCTGAAAATGTATAACCTTAACATTTAAAGCTACATAACAGTTCAATAAGCTATATAAGAAGAGCAACAAACTGAGATATAAGAGTACATAATTTATTCTTGTTCTGGTCAGGTGACAAATTTATAACAATAATCTTTCTTTTTTATAATTCGTTATGAGGGCAACCTTTTTTATTTCTCTGATGCATCTCTGATGTATTCTTCTCCTTTGTATAAAATTTATAGTTGGTTAATATAAATGTAATTAATCAGTATTAATAAGGTTACAAATTGAATTACAGGATGTTGGATTGTGGAGTTCACTCCCCCTATCTAATGGGGTAACCACCCCCACAATCTGAGACCCAAGATGTAAAGAGAGGGGAATGGGAAAAAAAGGGGTAAAAGAGGGAAAGGGTGATAAAGATTATGCATGAGAATATCACAGGATATATAAAAGGGATAAAGTATTAAGGGATGTAAATTACATTCACAGTTAGTATGACTGATTAATAAGAAAGAATTAATACACATTTAACTATATTGAATTTAAGATTTAAATCAATTCATAAATACACAGGATCTTAAATTGTGAAGCTTGCTCCCCCTATTTAATGGGAGACCGACCCTCACAATCTGAGACCCAAGAAAGGAAAAGAAAAACAAAAAGGGATAAGAGTGGGAAAGGGAGATAAACATTAATTATACAGAAGAATATTACTGTATATCTAAAAGGGATAAAGTATCAAGGCATGTTAATTGTATTAGCACATTTAGGATGACTTATAAATAAGAAAAAAATAATACACATTCCATTATTTTGTATTTAAGATTAAAAAGTATTTTATTCCTAAATATAAATGATACATTTATGTAACAAATCACAAAGATAACACATATCTAATTTAGAATATAGGAGTTAACAAGAATATGATAATATCTATTGATGTTTGCATGGTTTAGTAGTATATTTATTTGATGCATCAATTTAGAATTTAGAGAATTATGGATAAGGCTAAGCCATTATGATGTACTTTTTACAGTTCTGGTTAATGGTTCACAAACCAATAATTAGATATGAGAGAAAATATTGATCTGTGAAATTAATTTCATAATTTTGTAGTAGGACGGATTTGGGGAGGGGATTGTAAAGTGGAAGGGATACAAGGGATGATTTAGGGAAACAAAATAGGAGTGATTATGGGGAGGAGTAATGGGGGTAAACAAATAGATACGATAAGAAGAAAGGGAAAGAGAGAGAAACATGTTAAACTGAATATAAAAAAGCATGACTGCGTGAATTTGCAAACACTCTTAATGCTAGCCAAGATGGTTTGGGGTCTTATCAGAAAGGATTTTTTGATTGTTGTTCAATTTGTTGTATTGTTGTATGAATGTAGAATTAAATTACTTTGTGTTATATTTGAAATATTTATATGGGTTAACCAATTGAAACATATATGCTTGTCTGCCAGAAGGAGATGCCAAAAGAAAGGGATATGTAAAGATGACACAACTTTTTATCTATTAATGCTCAGGGCATGAATACCCCTCAAAAAAGAAGACACCTGTACCATACATTGTGCCAAAATAATATAGACGTTGCATACATACAGGAAACTCACTGGATCAGTTCCCATTGGTATTTCAAGCCATCCTCACTAATAAAATAAAAAAAGAGGAGTGCTTAATATTTATAATCCTTTTTATTGAAAAGTATTTAAAAAAAAACATATTTCACATTAATTTGGTATATAAAGAAATCAACATTCAACAATAGAAACAAGTAGAAATAATGATGTGAATGCAAGCCATTCCTCCAGGTCCAATTGCAGACCCTAATCTTTTTCCTAGGCTAGAATATAATCTGGTTTTGGATCTTGAACTGAAAAAAATAAGAATAACATAAGGAGATCATATATTTTTGATTTGGGTGAAATAAATGCATTTTTTTCAAAGTTCAAAATTTTTAATTTTAAAAATTTGTGGTCAAGATTTGTGATGTCAATTTGCTCTTGTAGGATCTCACTAATTGCGCAGTACTGGAGGCCCAACTATTGTCCAAATCATATTTAATTTTATATTTTTCAAACAACATAAGCATCACACAGCAACTGAGGAAGCCTCCCAGAAAGGCAAAATGCATTTTGCTATTGACTAAAGACTGTAAGACCTTTTAATCTTATTTATAGTGTTTTTGTGCACTTTATTTTGAATATAGCACTTTATAAAAATGAAAAATTGTGACTATAATGAAAAGTATTGAAGCTGCTTTACTCAATAAGAGAGGGAGTGGGACCCTGAAATTCCACTAAGTGGAAATTTTGAGCCAAGGAGAACTGGCTCCTCACTTGTGAGTGCATTCACATATGTGTAATTACCAGAATGTATAGATACAGGCAATATTGCACTAGCTTGAATTTCTCTCTCAATTTAGTAATATATCTACCAAGGACTACCCACTCTTTTAAATTTGGAATCCACCCTTCCTGTATCATTTACATTACGGAATCTGATGTAAGATACTCCACCAGATATATATTTTTTGAATATTTGTTGGTGTGGGGTAAGTGGAACCCACACAGGTGTTAGAGTATCACATATGGATTGTACCACTTTGGTGATTTTGCATCCTTATTGTATATAAACATTAGAAAATCAATATTGTTTATGAATTTGGAGCTCCAATCAGTAAAATCTATTTGTGGATAATAATGATTTAGGATTGAAAGTGGCATAGCTCTTGGCCAAGACAAGTTGGGTTTTAAAGTTTTAAACAATACAATCTGAGCTTTTAATGAGATTTTCATTGATGGAAACATTGTAGATAATTTAGGTCTTTTAAAAAATAGGAGCCAAATTAATTCTTTAATTGAGTATTCAATTTATCTGTTTCCACCTCTAACCATCTTTTGTGAATCTAAATTAAATTTAATAGCAGCTGCTGCATTGGTTGCATAATAGTATTAAAAAAAACAGGCCTCCCTAGCCCTCCCCAACGCTTCAGGTTCTGTTGAACAACTAACTTAACTTT